CCCCGCCGCCCCCCGGCCTGTTCTTCGGACCCAGCTCCTCTCCCAGCCAGGGCCCGCGGAAGCCCGCCGTGGAGCCCGGCTGCCCCATGAAGCCCCTGTACTGGACTCGAATCCAGATCAGCGATCGGAGGTGAGCCTGCCCCGGCCCGGAGCCCCCCGCCACCCGCCTCGGGGGGGGGGAGTCGGTGCGAAGGCCCGGCCGCAAATGGGAACCAGGAGGCGGCAGCCTGTACATGACATCCTGGGGGGGGGGCAGGGTGGAGCGGGCGGCTCACAGGGAGCCCGCAGCCAGGGAGCCGAGAGCCCGCAGCCAGGGAGCCGGGAGCCCAGCAGCGGGGAGCCGGGAGTCAGCAGCCAGGGAGCCGGGAGCCCAGCAGCGGGGAGCCGGGAGTCAGCAGCGGGGAGCCGGGAGTCAGCAGCGGGGAGCCCAGCAGCGGGGAGCCGGGAGTCAGCAGCCAGCGAGCGGGGAGCCCGCGGCCAGGGAGCGGGAAGCCCGCGGCCAGGGAGGGAGGAGCCCGCGGCCAGGGAGCGGGGAGCCCAGCAGCAGGGAGCCGGCGGGCGGGGAGCAGGGAGCCTGCAGGCTGGCCGCTCCGCCTTCCTTTACCCCACCAGGGCGCCAGGCCCAGTGAATTCTCCCTCCCTGAAAATGCATCCTGCGTGCTTCCCAGTTAGTGCCGGCCTTGAGCTTGGTGCGCTCACCCCACCTCACCCGCCTTGGCACCTTCACTCCAGTGTGCCTGGTTTTGGAAATGGAATCTTAGCGTTTCTGCCTCTGAGCAGAGCTGTCTGACAGTGGTCCTCAGATCTCAGCCTCCACATCAGCTAGGATTGTAGGAGTGAGGGACCACCATCATATAAGCGGTTTTTGTTTTAACTGAAAATAAATTACAGGAAGATTTCATTGTATTACCTTTTCTTCTGACTTGATTCTTACCCTTAACTTGTTGCTCTCTTCTTTAAGCCAAAATGCTACACCAACTTTATGGGATTCCTTAGAAGAACCTAATATTCGGGACACTAGTGAATTTGAGTATTTATTTTCCAAAGAGACAACTCATCAGAAGAAAAAACCTCTGTCAGAAACCTACGAAAAGAAAAACAAGGTTAAAAAGGTAATGTGTGAGTATAGTTCCAGTGCTACGTCAGTACTCTGTTTTCTGTCTGTGGAAAGTCACTGAATATTGCTGGTTTGCTTTCTCTTTATGTCAGAGCCAACAGTTCAAGAAATTGGTGTCATTTGGGGCATATCTTCTGAATCTTAGGAGTTTATTCTCTAGCCATTATGTTTGGAAATAGATTTGATTTGCTGTTGGTGAAAGTAATTTGTAGATTACTGAAAACACTATCAAGGCAGCTTATATACTGTCTTTGCAGTATGAAATGTTTCCACTGTCAATATGCCCATATTCACCTTGCCCCTAAATTACCTTTGTTCCTGAACAAGAAGGTCATCCCCTTGACAAGGATCCAAAAATCTGCCTACATTGTCCAAGACACTTTTTCCTGGCTCCTCAGGGAAGGAGCCACTTTGATAAGCTTTCCAGTTTGCATTCTGAACTTGCCTGACAGAAAACCAGCAAGTCCTGCCAATATCCCCCCTCTCTAAGAGACCACAATCTGACCTTGAATTATAAATCATCTCTGCTTGTTTCCTCTTCTGTAAGATGTAGAAATGCCACTCTCTCCCTCTGTCTTTCTGGTAGCTATTTAAGAATTAATGAGACCCTGGGTATTTTGTCTGAGCATTGTAGAGGAGGGGTTTGGGGGAGGGTCGGCAGACGTTAGTCTGTTGAAGCTTTCTGGTGCCAAAAGCCTTCAGCCTTGATTGTAATTTGGTACTTTGGCAAGGGCTGTGATTTTAATTCTTGAGTCTCAGACTTTGTGTCTCACTTTATTGGGGAAGGGAATAGGGTGGAAGGAGAACATGGTCTGGAAGTCTAAACATAAATTCACAGGGTTTTCATAACCTGCTGCTTTCCAAGTTTATATTGCTTCAGCTTTTGTGACAAAGATAATTTCACCAGACTATTTTGGAAGAGTATGTGTGTAATTTTTCCCCTAGCATGTTTATCTACACTTTGACGTTTCTTGTGTATTTGACAAATGATTGGCGGTATTGTAGTTACCATCTATAGATAAGGTATGGCCTGGGGTTATTAGTGCTCTACCCAGAGTAGGATCAGCAGGATTAGGGTTTGCCTGTTCTTCAGCTTGAAGGACCTTAACAAGCCAAATTTATCCAGAGGAAACAGGAGCTCCTACTCCATGCCAGACACCAGTCTACAAAAATTCCACCTTGTCAATTTGACTTGGAAATGAGATGGCAAGGTGGCCCCCAAAGTTAGCTTGTACATCTATCTTATTTGCTTATTTATTTTTTAAAAAAGTGGTTAGAACTTGTCAACTATGGATATCAATGTTCCATTCAGAGTGTTGAACCTGAGTATTATTCTTGGAGTTCACTGTGTTTCTTTGGTTGGCTACTAAGTAGTAACTTATCTGACTCTGTACCTTAAGCCAGCAATGGGCAGGATCATCTGGATGCTAATTACCTTTCCCAAACCACAAGAGGGCACCTGCGAGTATGGAGCGGTGGAGCTAAGGCCAGGAGAAGTGGACCTCCGCAAGGAGAATTTCACAGCTTGTTACCCACACAGTATTCAGAGCCAAATGCACATGAGGAAGGCGTGTAAGCATTAGCTTTAGGTTGAGAACACACAGTTCTGCTTAGAAGGAGTGACTGCAGTATAAAACTTGATTACATATTAGTCTTGGCCTCCTGAGGATCAGCACCAGGATCTCCTTCCCTCTCCCTACACATACAACACTTCCATCACTCATGCATGTGTGCATGCATGCACACACGCACACACACACACCGCTTTAAAACCATCCATATGACAAGAATGAAGATTTATTTGACTATAGGTTGGGGTTCTTTAGTTAAAAATTACAAAAACTGTGACTAGATAATAGTGTAAGAGAAGCTGTGAAGGAATCATTCTAAATCATGCTCATGTTTTCCAGACCTTATTAATTGTCCTCTGGACAGACCCTTTTCCTGAGTGTGTGCAGGGGGTGACGCCTCTGGCCTCCAGTTCTAAGCTAGAAACACACTGTGACAGAACAATGAGAAAAGATCCACCCTGTGTACCTAAGTCAAAAGTCTGTCTTCAGGAGAACCAGGGAGATGGTTACTACGATTCCCACTTTGTGAGGGAGCTGGAGTTTAGGAAGTTGTTGGGTGGTTGCCTATACCCTGTACAGGCAGCAGAGCGAAGGAGCAGAACCATCCACAACCCAAGACTAGTGTTTGTAATTACACAGAAAATAGTGTGTTAGTCTAAATTAACTGCAGTGCTGACTTTCAGTTCACTTGAGAAAGCCTACTCATTTCCTAGTCATTATATAGTGGATGAAGCCCCAGCATAGTATCAGGATCCATATATACTGTAGGCTCTGACTTTCCTCAATGCTGAATCCTGGACATGTTCCCTTAAGTTCTCTGGGTCTCTGATCTTTCATATGTCATAAGATAATAATTCATTTGAAGAATTAATGATTCCTAACTACACTATTCCCTAATGTTGCTTTTCCTTACCAAGGATGGATAGGCAAGGGAATCTTACGCGTGAAGGATACCTCATTGTCAGGCCTGGCACAGTGCCACAGATCAGATCAGGCTGCATGTGTGTGTCAGGTACAACAGCACACAGGGAACACTTAATGATCGTATTAGTTCTCCAGTCTTCAGACAGTTACTTTTAAGTAGACCAAGTTTCTTTATGAGCTTCTGCATGGAAAAGCCGGGAATCTGATGGGAAATTAGGAGCCAGTTAGCAGAGTCTACACCTCATAACGTGACCTCTGTGCTTAGTTCCTACAGCTAACACAGTGAGTGGAGTGGAAGTCTTAAAACACTCCTGGAGGTGCAGAATATCAGAACTTACCTGCACATAGATATTCTTACATGTACATATTTAAAGTGAGTGTGAGCCAGATGCCAATGGCTCACACTTGTAACCCCAGCTACTCAGGAGACTGAGATCTGGGGATTGAGGTTTGAAGCCAGCCCAGGCAGAAAAGTCCAATTAACCACCAAAAAACCAGAAGTGGAGCTGAGGCTCAGAAAGAAAGGAAGGGAGGGAGGGAAGGAGAGCAAGAAAGGAAAGAGAAAAGAAAGGAAGGGAGGGAGGGAGGGAAAGAAAAGAGTGAGTGTGTGCAAGTGTGTGAGTGGAATGAACTATAGGATTTCAGCCTTGCCTTAGTCGTGCATAACATGGAGTCTACTGCAAACCAAGTGCTTCTCCCTTCAAAGACGGTGATATTCCTCTTCACTGTTGTGTGTAGATAATTCATGCATTTGGCAGGGGCAGCCGCTGGGCACGGTGAGGTAAGGCCTCATCACTCTTTCCTTCATCCCTTCCTTAGCAGACCGTCCAGGGCTCGGAGGCCAGACGGAGATATCCACTTACTTCCTGGGAGATTCTAGCTTGACTCCCAGTACAATGGTCATACTTCCAATTTTTGATAAAATACTTATGAGCCAGTGCTTGGTTTCCTTTGGGCCTAACCTGATTTCTCTCCAGCTGAGGCTAATTTGCATGGCTGTAAACACGGGCCCTACAAAGCTCACCAACTGTGATGAAAGCAATGGAAACCTGAGACTACTGAAAACTCAAAATCCCTTTCCTTACCCACGGCTGACTCTGAGTCATGCCTTAACCCCAGAAGGCAGCCTGCACACTGCAGTTACAGAAATGTTACTCGGAATGATCTGATTAGGGCAGCAAGGTTAGCCACGGTCCATTTACAAAGACAATTTGAGAAGAAATCACGTGCATAGCATGCTATGGGTCAGCCACTGCTTTGCCAGGACCATTATCAGATCTCTTCTGTGGGGCACCGATGGAATTGGAGGGCTGGGGATGAGTGACAGAGGGGATTGGGCTGTAGAGCTGGAGTGCACAGGCCTGCCCCCAGCTGGGTTCCCTAGTGGCCGCTGCTGCCCCGTGGAGGTGTGGGGGAGCCTGAGGGCCCAGGATTACCTTCAGCTCCCCCTCAAAGTGCAAGGAAGAGGGAAGGCTCACCGGACAGGGACCTGCGGCTCCATGTTGACACACGAGCGGCCAGATGGAAGCTATTGGACATTTTGATCCTTTCCTTCACGACTAGAGTGGTCTAATTGGGACTTGGCTCCAGACCCCCCAGGCCCTGGTTACTATATAACCTGACTTTTAGTGTTTTCATTTTCATTAATTAACTTTTATGCCAGGTACCTTGTTAGCCACACTAAGTCATTTTACATGTATAGAATACCCCAAGAGGTGAGAAGTGGGGGTCTTTCAAAGTGCTAGAGAGCTGCCAAGAAGCAGGGGGTTAATTCACAATCTAATTATCACATCCCTTTACCTCCTGTGGACTCCCTTGAACAGCCTCCTTCATCTAAAGCAAACTTTTAAACTTTGTTTGCAAATAGCTCTTGTATTCATGTTGATTTTGGAGATTTTTGGATCATCTACTTTGGGTGTGGCTCTCTTCCTTTCCATCCAATTCAGGAACATAAATGTTACTTGGAACACTAGGATAAGGCACATTAATTAACAAAGATTTATTTAAAATGAGGCCAAGGGAAAGGCATACTGCTTGGGCTGGGGCTCGTTATAAATAGCTCCTCTGTACTATAATCATCTTACTAATGGAAGAAGTGAGGCGGCGAGATGATTGCCTAGGAAAGAATGTGGTTCAGAATGGAGCAGTTATGTGTCCAAAGCATGGTATCTTTAGAGTGCTTTAGTGAGACATGGGAGAAATAAGGTCCCGTGGCTTCACAGATAGACCTAGCCAATCAGCTGGCTGGCCTCTGCGGCTGAGGGCGCACGGAGAGGAAGTTCAGGTACGGCAGTCAGAATCCCGTCTGTCAGCTGAGATGCTGGTGAAGACCGTGGCGAGGCTGAGGTAGGCCTGAGCCCTGGATGCCTGGCTAGTACAGCTAGAGTCACAGTCGAGGCTGAGGTAGGCCTGGGCCCTGGATGCCCGGCTAGTACAGCTAGAGTCACAGTCGAGGCTGAGGTAGGCCTGAGCCCTGGATGCCTGGCTAGTACAGCTAGAG